ACCTAAACTCTGTCCAATAACCTAAAGAAATGTGTTAAAAATGGGAATAATTTTTAACCCCGTTGATTCAATGAGTAGTTGCCGTACCATTATGAACTGAGACTATTATCTATCATATGCAATTAACATATCTTGGTTCCATGCACTGCATCCTGTGTAGCACACATAAATGTTAAATATCGCTGTCCAAAAACCTAAAGAAACTAAATTATTTAAGGCGTATTTTTCTTCATGCTCAGTTTAATTATCCCAGTACCGGCCAAGATGCCGTTAGGAAAGTATTTGACAGATTTTGAGCGTGGACAAATACAAGCCTTAGCTCAATCCGGTGCACAGAAGCCAGAAATTGCGAAAACTTTGGGACGCTCAATTACCGCAGTAACAAGTGCCATTAATCTTGGAGATAATTATGGAAATTGGAATAGAGGTGGTCGCCCGAAGGTCACTACTGATCAGGATGACCGAAAAATCGCTCGTTTGTGTTCGACTGGTGGATATTCGATCCGTGAGATACAACCAGAGTTGCCCATTGAAGTATCGAGAGGTACAATTCACAACAGAATTAAGGCTAGTGATTTCCTGGTGTACACTAAGAAGAAATGTGAACCTCCGTTAAAACCGGTGCATATCGAGAAGCGACTGGAATATGCCAGGAAGTACATGCATTATGACAGAGAGTGGGAGAAAGTAGTTTTCAGTGATGAGAAAAAGTTTAATTTGGACGGGCCCGATTGATATGCATACTACTGGCACGATCTGAGAAAAGACAAGGATATCTTTTCAAAACGACAACAGGGTATGTATTTGAGATGAATATTTCCCGATTTACCTACAATTATGCAAGAAATGAGAAAATGAGTGGATTGGAATTTGTTGGTTAAAGGCGGTGGATCGCTTATGGTCTGGGGAGCGTACGGCTACCACGGCAAGAGTGAACTTGCCACGATCAGTCATAGATTGAACTCCCAGGACTATCAGGGAATCCTTCAAGACAATTTGCTACGAGCTGGTCCACAAATTGGAGGAAGGGGGTGGATTTTTCAACAGGACAACGCGTCCATCCATGTATCCAACTCCACACAAGCCTGGTTAGACCAGAAAAGAGTTCGGCGTCTGGACCACCCACCCAAAAGTCCCGACCTCAACCCGATGGAGAACCTTTGGGGAATAATGGCTCGCAATGTATATGCTCATGGAAAGCAGTACGCCAACATTAGAGAGCTCGAGCTGGCCATTCATGCGGAATGGGCGAAAATTCCATTAGAGGTCCTACAAACCCTAACTGATTCCATGAAAAACAGGATTTTTGAAGTCATATTGAATCAAGGAGAGTTCATTCATTACTAATAAATGCCCATGAATTGATTAGATATTGAATTATATTCGAAATATTAGGGAAAATATGCGTTTCTTTAGGTTTTTGGACACCTAAATAAAATTATTTTGTTCATTACTCTGTCGTTGATGTATGTATTGGTCCAATATTTTGCACACATGTTATGCATTAATTACTTACTATTTGGTACAAAGCTTGTTCGATTTAGTTTAGTTAATCATAGGAAAATTTCCATTTTTGCACATTTCTTTAGGTTATTGGACAGAGTGTAATAAAGGAATATCATGGAAAATTGGAATCGTTTCATCTGGGGGTACACTGCTGGGTTATCCATAGCGATTTTTCAAAATCGTCAAATTAAGTTGAAATTTAAAACAGAGTTGCTAATGGTTGCTAATGCTAATTTAAAGAATATGAAGTGAAATTGGAAAATTAATTATCCCAACGGAAGCTATGGGGTAACTTATACCGATTTTTCAAAATCGTCTAATTGAACTGAACAGAGGTTGCTAAGGGCTCAAAATGCAATTGTTGCTCAAATTTTGGGGGTTATGGTCAACCTTTTCCTTGCTATCCTTTTTGTACCTAAAATTCAAACTTCTTGTAAATGCTTCACATTTCTCCTTCATTCGACTTCTAGTCAACTGCATGGTCGCCCTTGAACATTTGTGTGGCCTGCCTGTTGGTTCATGATCGTAAATCCCTTCCATGCTGACCGTTTTTCGACCAAAAGTTGTCATACTGCCAACTCGTCTCCGAGTTTACCCTTTCTTGCAAAATAGGCCTGTCTCATGATTTTGTATTTTCTGCAAGGCTTTTTATTAGGCTTCATAACAAACAACAATTTGTGAAATCGATTGAGAGAAACAGAAACAACGCTTTATTTTCTCGCTCACGTTTCAGAGACAGTCTCATGTTTTAGAAATTTTGGGTCATACCGTAGAGGAGTAGGGCTGTAGGAAAATACACGTTTGTCTTATAGCATAAATATGTTACAAATTTTGAATAAAAATCAAATTAAAACATGCTGTAAATATTTGTCCTACAACTTCAAGTAAAATGTTCTTAGCGTAAGAGATACTATCTTGTCCATTCAAACGAATTATAAACTATTTCAGAAGCTGATTTGGACATAATTCTACAAGACGTTGCAGCATGGGGTTGTGAGTCGTGCGGCATGGGAATGGTATCCGTCTTTGGCTCAGAAGCATTTACAGTGCTAGTTTCTGAATACAACTCCGCATTCTATCCTGCAGTCGGAGCCTCTCGATATGGAGATGGTCGAGTTGTAGCGTTCTCTCATGACACCTTCCTAAATCCTGGGAATGAAATTGCCGATTCTGTCAAGTTTTTAAATAATACCATAGCCTGGGCGAGTAATACTGATGGTTCGAAATCGGTCGGGATCCTATCAACCGGACAACCAAATTATCAAGAATTAAATGCCTTCCTTAACGCCAACGGATACAACTCGGCAATAATAAACTACGACGCGCTTTTTAATCTGAGCAGCACTTCGTTTGATGTCATCATAATTGCCAGTATGCTCTCAATTGAAAACAATGTAGTCGAAAGTATGAAAAATTACGTATTTCGTGGCGGAGCTCTAGTGACTGGCTGCACATCTTGGGCTAACCCGAACGTTGATTTCCGGTAGGTTTTTACCTAGAAAAATGTTTTCCGGAAATTAAAATTGGTACTTCACTTAGGAATTATTTTGCTGGGAATAACATACTCCGCGACATGGGAATGGTCTGGTCCCCCGACTACACATATCCAACCCTACCTAATAACAATTATAACGCGTCCAGAAATTTATTGCTAGTCACTCATGCAAACAATGCTAGTTTGGAGATAATTTCTCTTTTGGTGTCGGGTCAAGCGCCAACTGAATTCGAGGCAAGACAACTGCCAGGGATTGTGTACAAGGCATTATCACTTATCGATAAACAACAGCTACCCTCCGCTGATGCCCTGCATATTGTCCTGGAATCGTTGTTGTCACCTATAAATCCAAGCATAGATACCCCCATCATCCCAACCGTAACCGATATGGTGAACTTCGGTCTGGAACAGATTTTGTATTATACTCTTCAATCATCGAATGAAATAAAGGAGCACCCTTCAGCTCAAAACTTTCCAGGCAGCTTACCAGCCGGAGTACATATATGACTCACCAGCGTGCGTAGTAATAATTTTATTACTGTTTGGTAATGTTATAAAGGAATTTAACATAAAGGATGTCTACGATATAGATTAAATAAACTCAAAATTGTCTAACACTAAAACTACTTGGTACAGACAAAAATGTAAAATTTATCTGAAATCCTTAATGGTTCTAAGAGTTAGTAATGCCACTCATGGCTTATGGGACCCCTTTGTATCCGGTTGAGCGTATCATTTTGGAAGCTTGAGCTGTGCACAGTTTTCCCACTTTCTCTCCCAAAGTTTTGACGCTGGATTCCAAATTGGTTTGAAACCTTGTAATTTTTTTGTTTCCTGACCTCGACTAGAATATTGTTGTTTGCAGACAAGGCAAATCATTCCAATCCCACAAGCTTAAGGGACATTTAGTGTATAACTTAATTCAGGAGCATATTCTGAGTTTTTCTCCTCCAAGCAACTGGTAACAATTTGGTATAATGCCACCAAGATAAGTCCGACCAAAACCAGACCTTTACTGTTTTATGAACCTCATTGATGAAGGGTAATCATGGTTTTTTTACAAACTCCTGCAGGTACACTTAATGGTCATAAATCCCTCCGATATGAACCCCTCTGAAATGTTCCCAAACTCGTGCATGGCTTGCAAAATCGAGTATTTTTTCAGGAGTGTTGTTATTTTCTTCAATTTCTGGTCATAATCCACTTCAATATGAGCCAGTGCATGGATCAACATGCGCCACGGAATTAAGTTGGATTAAATGTGACAAAGATCTCGTAGACAATGAGAAACTGGTACTTTCTCCAAGGTTGGAATGTTTGTAATGTAGTGTCTGAATTATGTCAAATTGTGTTAAATTGATTGATTAAGTTGTGTACGTTTGGTCGTTGACCTATGGAAACATTTTAAGACACAAAATGTATGACCTCCTTTCTCACTTAATTATTGTGAATTTTGTTTTAGCAAATTAACTTCGCGTGTTTGTAACCTTACATGTTCAAAAAAAAATTTATTCATGTATTCAAAATTTGAATAAAAATATTCGTTCATTCAAAATTTGAATAAACATATTCATTCATTACCCATTCATTCATTCAAAAGAATACTGAATTTTTGAAGCCTCAACACAGATGGAAACTTACAGCTAGTTACATTAAAAGTTCATTCACTCAACGCCATGAAAAAAATATGCATCCCTTATTCACTAATTCATAATTTGTAATAAAATATTCAATAATTATTCAACATTTATTCATTATTCAGTATTTATTCATTATTCATTTTATTCAAAATTCACAGTATTAAATAACTGAATTTCTCCACTTTCCCTATGCGTTAAGTGTATGTAATATTTTAATTCTCAAATTGCGTGCTGAATCAAAACATTAAATGAACAAGTAACCCAACGCGATAAAAGTATGACTTTATTAAAGATACCAGAATCTCTAAGTCGTGGTGACAAGCACTTTAATCAATTGATAATGATACCGTTTAGAGGTTGAAATTAAGGCACACGATTTTAAAATTTCATTTATTAAGCACAATTTATTTTAGAAATGATTCTCGTCAAGATCTCGTTTTCTTTGACACTTTATGTCAAACCATAACAGTAATTTATGAATCCACGAAATACGTTGTCTTGAATGTTTTCGGTGTCAAAACTAAGGTAAAAAAAGCTGTTTGAACGCAACGAAATTTTTAGTTAGTCCACAATTCTATCATTCTTTCTGCTCACCAGGACGTGTCACATGGACATCGTTCTGCATAATCGTCAGAAGTGAGTTGCTTTTCTGTTTGCCAGTCTGAAACCAAATCATGGAGCCATTTCTTCCTCAGCGAGGCAATAATGCCTTCCATATGTAGCTTGAGTAACCTGAAAAACAAATCCAATTATTCGTTTTTGACAAAATAGTCGACCTATTTTGATGTCTGGATCATAACGCTGTGAAATAACCCAGATTTATTTTTGAAGTGAATGAATTTTGGATGAAGGCAAAAGATATGCCTTTTACATACAAGATTATTAAAAAAGGCGGTAAAACTTGCATTAGTTCAAATGTCCAGTTCAGTCGTTTAGGATATCTGAACGTATAACAGTTCTCCTCCTTCCTTCCGATTGGAGTGTAAGAGTCAACGTTCGGAAGCTTGGTATGGATAAAACGCTCCCCATGCGGGAAAAGGGCCAACGCCAAGTCGGCTTCCTGTTTTGCATGATAAGCAAAATACATTAAAGGGGATGTCCATAATTTATGTCGCTGCTGAGGTGGGTGGGATTTTGCATGATACGTGCCATAATTCGCCACATTTTCAATTAATTACTTAACAATTGGTAATTCGAGGTAAATATTTTAGCTAAACTAATTAGCAAAGGTGGGCAAAATACTTTGTCAAAATAGAGTATTTTGAGCTCCGGTTGGATTTAGATTTCCAAAAAGACGAAAATGTTCTTACAAGTTGAAAATATTTACAAGTTGTTTTTGAAGAAATTATGTTTTTATCCGAGTCAAAATACATTGTTTTCATTATTTTCTAAAAATAAAGGAATATTTTGATCGTATCAAAAGTAAATTTAATGAGAAAACCTGTAGTTTCGACCGATTGTTGTCTCGTCCACGTAAATATTTAGATTTCCATGTTTTTGTTAGTATAACAACCCTGGAAATCCAAACCCAGGCAAGAGCGGAGCTCAAAATGCTGTATTTTAACAAAGTATTTTATCCACATCTGTTAATTAATAATCTGATTGAAGTTCCTACGTTATTTGAAAACTCGCAAATTGATTCGTGATTTGTATTGATTTTATAATTAGTAATTATTATCTAATCGTGGTACTAATTCAAGTTAAGTAAATAATCCGATAATAAAGAGTATTTATTACCAAGGTGGAGTGTACATATGTGACTACCGGCACGGTAATAAATGAATCTTGCCGAAACGATTCTTCAGATATCGCGCGATTTAGCCATAAGTAATTACTGTACTAGCATGTGGGTTTTTTCTACTTTTTTTCTGTACACTTCGGTCTTTTCTGAATTAAACATCAACCGCATTTTATGAATTAGTAGAACGGTTATTCTGGATGATAAAAGTACCTTGTTACCACCGCTGGTAGTGACGTTGCTACCAGAATATCTTAAAAATGGCTTACGTGTTTTTCCATAATTTCCATCAATCCACCGCCTCCGATCCAAGTACCTTCCGATTCAGTCGTATTAAGGTAAGTTCCAACCGCCTCGACGACTGTGAGTGTGCAATCATCCAAATTCTTTAATTCGGCATCAATCTTATCCAACAGATCGAAAAGCAGGCCGGTGTAGCAGGTATGATTTCGACAAGACTTATCATCCGCGGTCAGAACGCAGGTCTCATTTTTTTTGATAACCCACGGATGATCCGTAAGTAAATGTCGTTGGTGTAGATTCATAATAATATTGTAACAAGAGGCAACAGTTATGCAAAGAATGTCACTACGAAAAGTCACTGTCGTTAAGGTGTGCCCACCCAGTTGGCCATCCATGTATCCCGTCATCGAGCGCTCGAGTTTATGACCCAACGTAAACAGTAAGGGATAGGGAATTTTAACATGGAAACGATAGGTTGACTTAAACCATCCACCCAATAAAATGATGACGTAATGTATGGACCTTCCCCAGTGATGCACTATCACGCGGCGAAACTCAAATCCCTTTCGTGCGGGACGGTGAGGGATTTAGTGACTCAAAATCCCAGGAGGGAGCAATGGCAACCCCACACTTCGTACGGTTTGGCATTTTTGCAAAGTTGGAAATTAATTCCAAACTATAGTCGAGGCGTTTATTTAGATTAGGCCAATTTCTGCATAATTAATTAAATTATGTGTTGAAAACTGGGTTAATCTTAATTCCTCGGAGACCATAATTCTACATGATGTAAACTGAGCCAAGGTCAGAGTAGACTCTTCTCTACGAAGCTCACTTTACCAGGGTTTGTGAGTCGACACGCTATATAATTCATCCCAATTCTGAAAATAAATGTGGGTAAAAATGTGCCTACGTTTAATCCTCCAACCATAAATAGATAGATTAACCATCAACTTTTCAAAAATGTCAAACCGTACCAAGCGTGGTTGCTCCCTGCTGGGATTTTACGTAAATAAAGTACTGATAGCCCCGTACAAAAAGGAATTGAGTTTCTGTTTACGTGTGACACGCAACCTCTGTGGACACCTTGGTATGTTCCCTTGTAAGACAAACTTATTTATTTACATACCTCGATCGTTACAATGCTTCTAATTTGATCGACATCTGTGAATTTAATACAAATACGTTAATTATCTCGGGACTCAAAACTCAATTAAAATTGATACACTCTAAATAAAATTGTGCTAAATTTACTCAACCTTGAGTAAAAAAAAAATAAGCGGATGAGACAACAGTTGGATCAAATTTACTCAATCCTAGAATAAAACGTGACAAACGTAAACAAACGTGACAAACTCCTGTAAACTTTAGGAATGAAAACTACGCCTTAAAACCATAATAGTACACCTCTTAATTCATGGTTGCCCTTCATTTTTTGATTATGTTGAGTTCAGTTTTTATTATGTACATTAGTATTAATTTTACCTCCAATGCTAATTTTGTTATGTAAAAAGCCAGTATTGGTGGAATACTGAATAAGTACTTATTTTGGTCAGTATCGGTATTAGATTATGGTCGTTTAAATAGCACCCCTTTCAAATGCCCTGTTGTATTTGAACCTGGCCTCGCCAGGTTCAAGTTATTTCGTTCAATTTTTACAGGCAAAATCCCGTTGGCAGAAGGATCTGGAGGAAAATCTCCTCCAGATCCTTCTGCGCCTTCATGCCTTCGGCGCTCGCATGCCCCTGGTTCAAATAGCATATACTGATATAGCATAGCATATATAGGCAAGATAAGCAAAAATTAGGGATGCCAACATAATATTCATTTTTTGCCATATTTTGCTTTCGTTAAACAAATTCATGATTAATGACGGTAATTTAAAGCAGGAAAGAGTTATTTTAAACTATGTTGAATTTTTTAAATCAACAAATTCTTGAATTAGCCTGACACGAAACGTTAACATGCAGACATAAAACTTTTCAAAAATTTTGCATGCGAATTTATGCATGAATACAATATGTTGAGGTAGCAGGTTTTTTCGGGAATCCCGTTCATATTTAAGGGTTTCTCAGAGAACCAATTGAGCCGATTCAACTCAATTCAAATTCTCGAGTTCGAGTGCACCTTCAGTTCGATTCTAAATTTTCCAGCCGGGTTCGAACCGGGTCAAAAGATTGACTAGAATCGAAGAATTAGAGTTATTAGTTGACTCGTTTCGAAACCCACCGAATCGAATTGAGCTGACTCGATTTTTTTTGTATTTCAACTTGGCCCATTTTTTGAGCTTTGCACTGATGAAGCTGCATCATTTTTCCAGAACCTTCGCATATATTTCATTTATCCAGAACAATTAAAAATATTGTTTTAATTCGGCAAAGTTAGTTGATTTAAAATATGCATTGATTTAAAATATGAAAACGCGAGTTATTTTCGTGTAAAAAGACGAAACTTTCCGTTGGATTTTCAAAATTGTGGGCTTAATATGATCACAAAAGTTAAACTTTTTAGACATAAATAACAAATAAGAAATTTAATTTTTTGAGACATGTTTAAACAAATTTCGGCATAAGAGAATCCCAAGCTTTTGCAAAAAATTCGAAACAATCAAGTTTTTAAAAAATTTCATGGCAGACAAGTTCAACTGTTTGTCATGATTTCAGCAAAAAATCTTGAAAATCTGTCTAATACTTCAAAAGTTGTGGTGGTTTTAAAAGTAAAAACATTCAAATTTGGCGAATCTGGTGCGGCGCCAAATCTGAGTTTCATGGTTTTGGCCCCTTAGAGGTGGAACTTAGATACTCTGCCAGTTTTTGTAAAATCATTTACCTTCAACATATCCAAATCTCGCATTTTATAAACCCATTGTACCAAAGCGGATATAATAATGAAAATCAATTTAGGATATGCAAAATATGAAACTTTGTTGAACACATTGGCACTTCGAATTATTTTCACCTTATGTCCACGGTCAAAAACGTTTCCATCGAAGAATCTAATTGAAAAAGGTTTAAAATCAATTAACTTAGCGGTTGGGCTCCTTCATTTAACCCCTTTTATATTTGTGTTTGTCAAAAACATTATTTGGACAGAATTTAAACAGAATAAAAATAGGTGCCTCTAAAAGTAAGGGGCACCTATTTTTCTTGCACAGGAACACAAGAAAGTCAACAAAACACTGGCCGAGGGTTTACTCTTGTTACGGAACGAGACGGGGGACAACTCCTCCGAAGTCGCGAGATCGGAAGAACGACTCAGCAAAGTCGTCCAACAATTTGAAATCACCGACGTAAGAAATTTACAAAAATAATTTACATTAAAGGAAATTGTGGTAATAACTCGTTACCGCGCGGGGTCAATATAAAACTCAAATTCCTTCGCCGATAATGGCAAGAATGCTCGAAAATCCTTCGCATTTTTATCCTTTGATGATATGATTTATTCCGTGTGGTAACAAAATTAGATCTTTGCGGTAGTTTTTGTTGCCGCGGGGTTATTAAAAGTTTACCTAATGCGCAACTGTAGCGTTATTTGGGCATGGAAATTTCGGTCACTTGGAGAAATGTGAAAGTGCACCAAAACAGATTGATTTTAGCTGTGTGAAATAATTTAGAATTTTCTGAAGTGAGTCTATTTAGAAAAAGTGGGCAAGTAAAAGTTTTCGATTCTATAATACGTTGAGTACCAATTTATTTTGTATTAATATTTGTGAATGTGTCCCTATTTTGGGCATGTTTTTGATAAATTTTCAGGTTCATGCTTTCACGCAGTTTAATATTATCGGCATGTTGTCGTGGTTGGTTGAGTAGAAATAAAGTTTCAGCTTTTGTTGATTCTGGGTTTAGAAAGTTGTCCAAAGTTTTCTGGTGGGGGCTTTCACCCCTCACAGTGCGAAGACGGGGCCACGCCACCACAGGAGGGAACTTTGAGGTATAAATATCTCCAGAGAAAGTCTTCTGAAATGGGGGAGGATATGTAGCAAAGCTAAATAGAACTTTCCCGGCTCACGTGGAGAAAGTTGATGGTGGATCCGGGATAAACCACAGAGGTGAAAGGTTGGGGTCAAAGAGAGAATGAATTAAAGAAGACAGTAAATTATGAATTTGTTTAAATTTAAAAATGAGAATTTATTTTGGAGCCGAATTTTAAAATAAAGTATAATTTTAACGCGACGTTTTTGGAATGAAAAATAATTTTTGGGCAGTGTATTTTTAAATGAGGAATACGTATTTTTAGGTGGAATTTTAAAGGGGGAACAATTTTTCAAGGGGGAAGACTTTTCAAATTAAAATTGTTACCGCCTGGGTAAGAAAAAATATCCCGAGGATTGAAAGAAATATTATACCTAATCAGTTAATCGCATGTTGTATAGACATTGTCTATTAGACAATGCAAGATCGCACTTTGGCGTCTAACTTGGCTTGATACAATTTTATCAAAATTTGAGCAGCAAATGTATTCTTTAGTATGCACGAAATAAATTGTTTGCGCATGGATCCAAATTTTTTCTGCCGTATTCGTCTATATTTGTTACCCAGGATAGAAAATGTTTTCTTGTTATTGTTTTATTTAATTTTTTTAACGGTTAATTAATAGTCAATTCAACCATCTTAGGATTAGTTCATAAATTTTAATATTTCACGTTTTCTTGGAAATTACGTTTCTGCGGGAGGTAGCCAAATGTCTTACAAAATAATGCCAATATGAGGGAAGACGATAACAATCGTTTTTCAATTTTCCTAGCGTGAAATTCCCAACTTTTGAAAAAAAAATTGAACGACCCCAATTTTACATGGATTATAAAATGACAGAGGTTTTCAAAACTGTTTATAAAACAGGAAAATACAAAATTATTAGGTAGCCCAGCCAGTGAAACAATTTTATTTTGCAATATATTCGCATTTTTTTAGGGATAAGAATCGTTGGTCAATTTCACAAAACTTTTGTAAAACAAAATTGTTTCGCTTAACAGATTTTTATTTTGGAGCAAACGTGCCAAAAACAAGCTGTTACGAAATTGTACATTATTTTGTGGTTTTCCTCGGCCTTGTCCAACTTTATTTTTGTCAGGCACCATTTTTCCTGCCATGAAATAAGTAAGTAAATAAGGACAACGTCTGGAGTTTTGGGGACCTCCCTCAAAACTTCGGAACGGACGACCAAGTGGGAGTGGAAACCGTGGAGAGGGAAAGAAAAAATGCCGCCGTTTAGAGGACACATCTTTACAAGTGAAGGAGGGAAAGTAATAAATTAAGGGCCGTGCGGGAAGGATGGGACAGATTTTAATTTGCCAAAGTGATCGGAATATTTTATTTAGCAGGAATTTCGTACGTGCGATTTAGGTGGTGGGCGATTAAAAAAAGTAAACAGGATTACAAAGGATCAGCAAAGAATGCTTTGTAGCCCGAACGGGTTGCTATTCTCGATGCTCTTTTTCCAAAAAAGCCCTAACTTTAATTCAGGGTCACTACTTTAATTAATTAAAATTAATAATTAATTGATTTATTAGATTTCCAATAACGTACCTTCACCATACATATCATAAATTAGATAACAGTAACATTATATTATAAACAAAAGGAATAAGCACATTATTGTGCAAAAAATGATAGCTTTTCTGCATCCAAGCTTGCAAAATTAGCTAATATAGGAAATCTTTTGGCATCTTCCACCCCTTCGGCAGAATAGGCAAAATAGGAATAGATTTGGCAGAATATCGGATATTTGTTTTTGAATTATTTTTGCTTTGTGTGCTCAACTTCTGGGATACCTTGGGTTTCAATTTCTGCTGAACCCTTTTGGACGTCGTTGGGATGACAAACGATGCGGTTTTTGGACTTTTCAAATATTCATTTGGCTGTAAGTTTAGGAATCAAATCTACTTTAAATATCCAGCCTGATAGATGCTTTAAATATTTATGAATAACAAACCTGCAGATGCGGAATATCTATATACATTTGTCCATTATCTTTAGAAGGTTCTACCGTTGTCGAAGTAACAAGATTACTCATAACCCTTTTTGTAATCTGGTTCATAAACACTTCATAATCTCGTCTTTCCCCTTGAAATAGAGTAAATAAATTAGAGACATAAAAAACAACTTTTAGGTCAATTGTACACATACCCAGCTCCTGTAAAGCTTTAAAAGTTGCGATTTGAAGCTTTCTGTGTTCGGTGTATAATGTAAACAAGTGATGCAGAGTAAGGTTGTTTTGTTCAAATATTACTTGCAAATATTCAATTTGGTCCTGCAATATTTGCGGTTTACTTTCTCCAGGTTTAATAAGGGGTTCTTTATGTTTGGGTAGCCCGGCTGCTATTTGATGAAGTGCTTTTTGGAAAGTTTCTGTCTCCGCATCAATGTTCCCGTCGTCCTCAATATCCGATTGCCAGTCATCGCTGTCACAGTCACTATCAGCTGTATCAGAGTTTAACCTTGATTCTTCTTCGTCCTTTTCGACAAGTTCCTGCAAATATTTATCACCGACAGAATCCGAAGAAGCGATGTTACCTTTGGTGTCTATCCATTGTTTTACTTTTGCTGCACATCGCTTCGGAAGGAATAGGATAACTCTGAAAATCCAACGATTTACAAATGAGTAATAGCCAAGTCTTAAATTGTAGAATATTTTTTTAATAATAAAATTGTTGAAGAATGTGTGTAATGTAGTCGATATTTAAGTTAAATCTTCTGGAATATCATAGTACTTTTCGGTATACCTTGTTCAACGTTGTAGATCATATTTTAACCACACATATGCAAAATGCTTCTATAATAATATTGAAAATTGAAATCAGTCCGATTTCCCTAATTATGTGTATGCAATTAAGCCATTAAATAAATTGCGAAGCCTTGGGCTCAAATATAGATTTGCTGATTGATTTTTATTGGTCGCTCATTTCGCGTTAACAACAAAAAACTTCATCATAACCGTTTCATACGTCAATTTCTTTCAATCAAAGTAGCACTATCCACTTCACATCGTTAAAAACAAATCAAATATGACGCCCGGATTTACGTGGATGAGTTGTGCTAAACAGAATTCATTTTGGGTCGAACCCTCCAACCAAGACTTGGATAGCGGGTTCGACCGAACTGCCGCAAGACTTTTAATACGATGCAACTTAAGTGTGATTCTATATAATATACAATCACATGTTTTATCTAACAATTTTTTCATTGCAATGGTATTATTTTCATCATTTGATTTGATACTCGGAAATTATTTTGGCGTTGACATTCCAAGAAAAATATATCAGGAGACGAATATACGTTAGTTAAAGACAAGTAAAAACGTTTACCTGACTCATAACAACTTTTCTCATCCGTTTTACGTTCATATTTAGTCACGAACAATACCAATGACCAACAAAATTGTGCTGACACATCCACGTTGAAACTAATTAATATGACACTGCCAGTTAGGCACAAGCAAACAATAATAATTAATGTGAAAATCGACGTGATGATGCCAAATGACAGGAAATCATCGCTCATACAAATGTCAACCTTTTGTAGTCTAGACATATTTAATCCAGCGCAATCAAACAAAGTTAGGAATTGGGAATGAGAATTGGGAGCACTGATAACGTTGCGAGGTTGTCGGTTGTGGAAAGTTTTTGCTTATCTGCTTATTTATGATACAGATAAGTACAACAATACTCTTGGATTCTGGAGGCATGTTTATTGCATAAAATGAAATAATTTTGTATCAATCATCATCTACATTAGTGACTGTAATGATTGATGACGACCTTTGATCAGTAAGCGTATGCCGTATATTTACGAATTTAAGCCCTTCAATATGAGGATGCTTGAATATTTAACAAAACAGTTCCAGCTGGAATCGAACATTAAAACGTATTAATAACTGAGTAAGGAAGATTTGTTCTTGTAGAACAAACATCTATATCCTTGGCCACAATGCCCTCTCCAATTTAAAAATGCATTCAAGGCCTTTCTGTTAATGCCATATTTATCTAATCGGGATTATAACGTCACAGGTTGTCGCAAACTATTAGTTCGCCTGGAGTGTTATTAAATTTGTTTAACAAAGAAATCATCCACAAGGTGGGCAGTAAATTATGAATTCTGTTCAAGGGGATGATTTTATGGGCCACATTTTTGGTGGTTTCCATTGGTTTGCAAAGCATTTCAACCAACATTTTTAGAATATTGCCCTAAAATTGTGCCCTTGTACTTTACTTCCCACCCTCTACATGCTTCGAATTCGCCAGATTTCTTTCAGTGTACACTTCCATAAATTGGATAGGGCTCCATCCTACACATGCAACTAATATGACGAGATTAACAAGATCGAAATATCTAAACTCACCATCTCAGCACATTAAACTGCACTAGATGCCTCGGTGCATATATGTATTTATTTTAAAATATTACTAATCTATATTATAAGTTCTAAAAACCCGTCTCGTAAGCCCCATGCTTTAACTTTCCGTAACATTCCTGCATTCTGATTGGTCGAGAGGAAGTACATGGAGTTACCAAGTTATAGAGTTATGGAGTTACCAAGTTCTGAAGTTATGGAGTTACCAAGTTATGAAGTTATAATTTTTTGTTAGTGTAGGCTTTGCACAAAAAGATTTTCAAGCAAGGGCCAAGATGATCTATAGCCCGTCTTGGGACGGGCTTGCTTGCTAGTTTATTATAGGCACATCTATTACTTGTTATCCTTGGCATCTTGTCCTTCCTGTTCTGCACAATTCTTCATTGATGTTATACTGCGTGGTAAGGATGCCATTACTCGATATACATCATGGATTGTGGTACTTGCGTCCTGTCCCCCATTAACCGTCCGTAGGAAGGATACACATCTCAAGTTTTGGAAATGCTTCGTGTGCTTGACATAAAGGATGAATTTGCGAAACTCGCCAATCTATGGAAGGGATGAAACAGAGACTAAGCTATTACTTGTTTCTTCAAATTGCTAAAGTTTTTGGTTGGGATAAATATCAAACCGAGATAAAATTTCGATATAGTTTCGATAAGTTGCAAACGAATTGTAGGGGCACATATACTGTCTGTCCAAGCCAGCTTGAGCCTTGAGAGATGGGAGACTAAATCCCGATCCGTACGTTGAACTGGATTTAGTCTCCCATCTCTCAAGGCTTATCCTGGCTTGGACGAAGAATACGTTGGAGTTTTATATAACAAACAATAACCTTGAGAATACAACTCTTTTTTGTTTCTAAAATATTTATTTCTTTAGTAACCAGTGAAGCGCATACCCATGTTGTATCTAGATATCCAATCACAAACTCTATTCGACTAATTTGGAGGTCGTTCTCGGATAAATCTTTTATGACAGAAAGTAACTTTGTCGCTGAAGGGTTGTTGCCGATGTGAACAGCGGTAACTGCATAGTCATCCAAGACGGTGGACCAAATATCCTCCCCCATATTTTGTCAAATTCGGTAAAAACTATTGCGATAAAATCGGAATTAACTGAAAACCCAAATGAACAAAATACGTGATAACTTGTAAGTTATATTGTCCAGTGGTGCCCAGTTAATTGAGCCAGAGTGATCTCTGGCTAAACAAGATAATATGGGCAATTCCATTGTATGATAAACGTTTATCTTTAAATATTTGAATGGTCTCTGGTTTGGTCGCAATTCACAATATCTATACAGTATGCATACATATCTATGTACAGGGTGATTCAACTAGGACGCAACAAACTAAATAATTTTTCGCTCGCTTGTGACATATGCCCTTAATAATTACCTTACCAACATATTTCGATAATTATTCGGAAAAACATCCCCCACACACATATTTTCATTAATTTCATTAACTACTTAATTCAGAAATTTTTATTGAAAAATTTTGCAAACTGCCTTTTATGAGAAACTATAAAATTCATCCTGGTAGACCCACCGCTGACTTGGCCGTCACTATTTACGAGCAGTCTGGCCACCTCACAAAGTACATAGTCACAAGTACATAAGAGCGCGTCATGCGCTCAGGCATTCTTCCCTGAGCCTCTTATCTAATCACCATATCCAACTATCTACAGTCGAGTAAGGAAGGAATATTTAACCATGGTCAAATGTAAAGCTAGATCAGACTGTCTACCTTTGTGAAATGGTCAAGACATCTTTCTAAACACAAATTTGTGGATAATATTACAAATGGCTTTCATACTTCGGTGTCTTGGACAATCCGCGGAAGAGAGTGAAGCTTCATATATCCTTGAAAACAATATTGGGGGAGATGTGTTTGAGGAGGTGTTTGGAAAATGTCTTACAAAGACAGTGTCCAAAATTGTTGTAGTGGATCCTCAAATTCGAACTGATTTGCAGGTAATTGAATAAGTCGGACCACGATAATCTGTGTACATATCTATAGCGGGGTATTTCTATATCACAGCAGTACATCTTCTTCCAATGGCTACGTTTTGTGCGTGTTAAATGCGAGAGGAATAGGGATTCGGTCACTGATGAGCGACCCAAATTGGACATTACGTTAGTATCAAACACAACCCATATTTGCCAGATGGACGAAACCGATTTTAATGATGGGACGGCCAAAGATCAAGATCCAAAAATTGTTTACAAGACACTTTTCGAAGAAGTTGGATTTGACGAAAACGTCAAATTCGATTACATTCCGAAAACGAAACAATATGTTGAGATTATTAAAAAGAAATCGTCCCCTGTGGCTTCAAGCTCTAATGGCTCAAAAGGAGAACATACGCTACGACATGGTGGGTCTTCCAATTCTGGAATAAAACATGGAAAGGGAAAGCAGGTGAAGTCGAAGGAGTCAAAAACTCGTGATAAGAAATCCGAAGTCAAATCGAAAGACGATGGCTCATTTCATCATGACAGATCAGTCAGGTAAGGCAATTTCATTTGGGGAATACTGTTTATAAAGGATTATGGAAATACTTAGACCAAAAACGGATGTTTTTGGTGTTTTCCATCACGTTCTCAGGAGGAGCAAGGGTCTAATTTTCAACATTTCATCGGTCACTATACCCTAATTGACAAAAAATGCTTGCAAAACAATCAAATTTTCGCACGTTTTAGAAATTGCTTTGAATTGAACAAACTCAAAAAATGTATCACAGACTGTAGCAAGTATGTGTATTAAAAAGAGATCAAATTCTGGTCCATTTTGACACAGCCCAACAGATGAATACATACATCAACATGCAGGTTTCCATAATCCTATTTAGTAAGTATTCAAAATGTTATCGCGGTAAACAAATTTCATATTCTAACACCGGGATAACAAATGTCGTATATTTTATGACAGTAAAATTATTTTTATGACTTTTACAGCATCCTAGATCCCGGAGAAGAGCAGACAAATGAAAAATTCTGGTTAGTTCGCTTAGGAAAAGGTTTACTTTTCATACATAAACTGTGCGCTTGTAACGAGAATCAATTACCTAAAAGGAGTAATAAGCAGTACAATAATCATTATTCACATATTACCGACAAAAAATTACGTTCCAAAAAGAATACCGATTTCTATGAAGAAAACGAAAATAGGAAAGGTTTTTCTGTTCGACATTACGAAAAATGTATAAAAACCATGGAACTTAACACCTTTAAAACGGTTAAAACGGAGTTTGCCATATCCTGCTGGAAATCGGATGCAGCAAATATTTTCCTCGCTGTTGTAGAATACCTTTCAAAGGATACAATTGATAAATTCGAAGATATGTCAGACCAGCCAATCGGAGCGTCCCTAATAATTCCGCGAAATATTTAACTTCTTTAATTCAAGTAATCACTATTAAGAAATATAAATCTAAATACATGTACATAATTTTGTGTTTGGCCATAATTAAATTGTTATGCATTATCAAGCGCTGATATTTTTACAGTTTATTCCGCCAATAGTGTGTAATGTTTGATACAGAAGTTAGCCAAATTGAACAAGTTTTTATTTGCCTGTAAATAATTTTAAATAATTTGCAAAATTTGACTGTCTTAAAATAGAAAGATGGGCACTTTTAAATCCAGTATATAACTGCAATTTTCCAAAGTGATGACCTAGATTGGTATGATTTTGCTAAATCAATATCTGGTGAAACCACCATGAGCCAAAATAACCTCAAAAATCCTTCTCTTCATGGAATCCGTGAGGTTGCGTAGGGTCTCAATCGGAATATTGGCCCATTCTTGATGAATGGCTTGTTCAAGCTCCCGTTTGATCCCATACTGGCGTCCATGACCATAACCACGGCGCGCAAGTTCAGCCCAGAGGTTCTCCATTGGATTTAAATCCGGACTTCGAGCTGGCCAATCCAAGGTCCGTATGTTTTTTGCGGCCAAAAAGTCTGTAGTGGACCGGGAAGCATGTACACTGGCCTTGTCCTGCTGGAAAATCCATCCACGCCCACCAATTTTTGACCCTTGCCGGATAAGATTGGCTTTCAGGACATCCTGGTAACCGGCCGAGTCGGTCCTAGGTGGAATTGGAACGAGCTAAGTCTTTCCATGGTATCCATAAGCCTCCCACAGCATAACTGATCCGCCTCCTGAAAATCAATTAATTTATTTTTATTAATCCTTCCATGAACCGGTTAATATGTATCCAAATTAGTATATATTATACATATTCAACGTACCAGCTTGCCTCTTGGAGAAAATTTCCGGATTCCGTCTCAAATTCTCAATTTCCGGATTCCGGCCCGTGCAGGTTGAACTTTTTTTCGTCACTGAAGACGACTTTATCCCATTTCTTCTCCCATGTCATGTGTTCCCGAGCAAAGTCGAGCCTTGCATCTCTATGCCTCTGGGTCAAAGGGGGCTGGGTAACTATTTTACGCCACTGGAGGTCCTGGTTGTTGCACAGGGCTCGGTGAACTGTGTCCTTTGACACAGAAATGGGCAATTCTCTGGCAATGTCACGAACTGAATATTTCCCTGTTGATGCCAGTTGTGCAATTTTCCTTTCGTTTCGTTCCGTGAGAACCTTTGGCCGTCCGACAGGAGCGTTTTCACCACCCTGGTGGGTTTTGGAGTTGAGAGAATTTGATATAACGCTTTGAGAACACCCTAGGAAATCGGCAATTTTTTGCTGCGACAGACTTTGGTCTCTTATTAGCTGAATTTGCCCCAATTTGAATTCGCTCAGTGGCTGACCTTTCGGCATTTTATTAGCACTTAACAACCGAATAAAGTAAGCTGACTTAGCTAAACTCGTCTCCCCGGAGGAACACTGGATACTAAATAATAATACGGCCATCTTTCTATTTTGAGACAGACGAATTTATCAGAATTTAATCATTTTCTCATATCTTCCCCATTTAGTGTCAGATGTAAATGAATTTTTGTGTGGAAAGTGCCAGATAGTTTATCTATATTATGGAAGCACGGTGTCGCTGAGAGACTATTTACCAGTTTAACTTTAGCCATTTGTAAGATTATCTTTTGATTTTGAGACGCACTATATGTATTAATAAATATTATTTCCTTTGCCTGAATAATATTGATCATAATTGCAAAACCACTTTATGCATTGAATCCGTCCGTCTGTCCCTCCAGGTGAGCTCTAGCATTCTAACGACTTTACTTGTGTGAAGTATGAATTCACCAATTGAGTTAAGAGGTTTGAGAATAACTTGAGTTCGTCAACTGACCTTGTTGGTCAAAAGCAGTTTTGAAAATCAAACTAGTTTTGGAAACCTTGAGCAAAAGGAAATCTCCTTAGTTGTATTTGCATAGGACAATTTTTTAAATTGATAGATTCCAGTATAGGACAGAAAGTTGCTTGATAAAAAATTCAAAAGTTGCAATATTTATTATGAAGCATGCGAATACCGAGAGTGGGGCATTCTAGTTGACGAATTTTTGACAATTTTTATAACTTACGTATGAATTTTTTTATTATAATTAACTTGCTCGATGTGATGCCCCTTATTCTCAACTTCAAGTTTGCAACGTTTTTCCGCGATGAAAAACCTTCCTGGCCCTTTTTAAGGGTGTATTTTTTGCAATCATTTTTTTAATCGTTCCAAAGTACGTTAACATTCATAAATTCGTCGGTGTAAAAGTTATTGCTCCACGATGAAAAACCCGAAAAAATCCTAACGGTGAACGTTGGATGACGTAATAGGACTATCTTGATTTTTTATTACTGTAGGACCAAGATTATCATATCCCGAATTTTCATACCCCTGCGTTTTTTTAAATTAAGCGAATGACAAGCGATTTTTTGGTCTATTTAGGCGTGGTCCTCGGCCGTTTTTGTTATAATCTGTCCCAAATCAGTTTTAATTAGTCTCTGGATAGTTGATTTACTCTATTTTAACAGCTAAGCCATGCAGCATTAGGATTTAGAATTTTACAGAGTGGTCAAGTTTTTCAACTGATTTTTCAGCTTTTTGGTGCGTTCGGAAGTGGGTGAAATTTCTAAGGTGCTAATTGTTCCGGACTATTTGCTTGGCTTTCAACAACTCTACAATACACTATTCTATAACAGTGTTTCTGCTCTTAACACCTGCACGAAATTAGTGCACGAAAATGTTTAATAACACCCACCAAAAATCTGGAAAAGTGCATGAAAATGCACGAAAATGCACAAAAATCATTTAAGGGCAAATAATATTGTAATATTGCAATTCTTCTGAATAATAGGTTAATTAACAAACAGTTGTGATATTTTATGGCATTTACATCATCATCTTCGTATTTTAGTATCAAAAAGTTTTCCCTTTCCATGAAATATCTACAAAAATCAATATTTAGACAATGTTGCTATAAGGTTCCAAATAAGTGAGGTTTGAAATAACCGAATCTCACCCCCATTTGACAAGCCAGGAAAGTGTTAAATTGGAATGTAGTCTGTGGAATTCACTTCTTGCCAAATTACCAAGACGGTAGAGTGACATATCAATAGCGTTTTTACTGAATTTATTAAGAGTGTGTGTATGTAGCTAAGAAATTGCAAAAAGGGATATACAAAGATTTTACGTAATTTTCAATAAATGTCATTTCACCAAGATTGGAGTCACCCTTATCGAAATTTTGCATTCGAAAGTACACAATTTCGCATATCTTCTAAAAATCTTATCTTTCAAGTACCAAGCAGAATAAAAACATATTCCGTCTTATTTAAGTTCTTGAGAAATTGTGATGAGTGATCTTTTATGCTATTTTTAATTGTAGTGAACTTTGTGTAAATTATTGCATTAGGCGACAAGAGATTAAATTTCATATTAGAAACAACAATGAATTATTTATTTACAGGTTGTGGATGGTTGCATACACATATTTGATGTACGAACTACTTTGGGGTAGATTGATACATTAATTCATTGAGGCAGATTGATACATATTTAATTGCAATCTCACTTCCTTCCAATTGAGATAAGTTGAGACTTGCGATATACGCTGGTGCATAACAGCGTTTGCTTCACCACGTAACACTTGCGGACCTTTTTGGTGGTGGACCGTGACTACTTTTATCCCACAGGTCGGACGCGAAAGCGCGTGGCCTGCGTACCTAAACTCGGCGATATATTTAGCTTTCTCGCAATTGTGACCGTGGAAAGTAATGCACGTGCGAGTTTTTGCAGGAGCGTTCTTTTCCCATGCATTTATGAAGCCGTCGAGTCGTCCAGTGCTGCGTCGGGTAGATATGTGCCGTGTGTAGTGAGTTGGATGAGAGCGAGAGTTTGTCTTTGTCCCATCCATCACATCCAGCCATGCAACATCCATCCATCCAACTGTTCAGATGCATAATAACTGCATGCAATGAAATACAAACTTGCACCCAATATTCACACATTTGCAAATATTATTCGCTGCATCCAGCGACCTATGTACATGTGTATGTTTCCAAACACGTCTCACTTTTTGATTTGTAAAGTCTGTAAAGCAAAAAAAGGCTGGATGTGCACCCATGAGTGTCGCCAGCGTATTTAAATATAGGGAAAAAACATTAAAATATTTGCTTTTATTAAAATATCCATTTTCAGCATTTTAAATAATGCAATCCCAATATGCACACATTTTCGCATAATTTCCTGAACCAATTTGTAGCAAGAAATACAATTATAAAATATAAAATATGTTTGTAGTTTACAAATAAAGTACCAATTTAAGTGATATTTTCCTGCAAATATAAATAAACGGGTGAAGACAATTCAATGTGCTCCATCGTTTTGCCAGCATAATCCACAAGTACGTCAAATTTTTGTAAATCATACTGATCTTTTCTATACAAATTACAACATTTGCAAACAAGATAAGCACTCCCCAAACTAGAAATACCGTTTTCACATTACCCCTCAAATTAAGCGGTTTAACAAATATTTTCCACTCAAATTTTTCCGTCGCATTGATCCCCTGACTTTCTCTCAGCCTTAGTTTCCTATCATCTGAAAGCACACTTGGAGCCAGAACTCTCAACATTTCCAGAATCCCATTCTCAACCAGTTGCCCCATTTTTTTAGCTGCCTTCGTCCCCCGCGGAGTTTGAAGCACCCAACCAAACGAATCCGGGAAAAGTTTCTCTACCCCGAGATAAAAGTCAATTGCGGGAAATCTTTTCTGAAAATAGTTATAGTTCGCCGCAATATCTGTCTCACTTCCGACATACACAGATTTCCCGCACTTGACTAACTCATCTTCAACAGCTTTCTCGAGCAACTGGTTCGAAACTATGGCGTGACTCGGAGTTGTCAACATTTCTGGAAAAAATCGATGTTTCTCCATCAAAAAGGAGTACAACAGTTGTAACATCTCTTTCGAATTTTGCACCCCATGAGAACGTTCCGACAGTAAGATATTGGTAAACCTATAGCTCAATGGGCGTTTCGCATAATTCCCCCATTCACTCTGCATCTTGGAGAGGAGGCTAAAACATTTGTAATAGTCCGCAATTTCGATATTTCTCGAATTGAAGGCTGAAGTCGCACTAGGTAAAAGTTTCGGGTTGGAGGTCATGACCTCCATATCGGTCGCATTTGTCGGTGGGCAGACTAGTTGGCTAAACTTTGTTAACTTTTCCTCACCCGGGGATGAATTTAAGGCTGTAATGACGAGTCCGGTGTATCCCGTGGTAAAGACGATTACGAGCATAATCCACACGTAAATGACAATAAAGTTGGCCGGATTTTCTTTAATACGACTCGGCACCCAGGGCGAACCACCGAACAGAGTGGAGCATAGGAATAACCATTCAAAATTTACAAGGGGTACCAAATTTGACAGATTTGCGTAGAATTTTGTAAAATGTATCGTCGCTACAATTATAATTCCAGTACTGGCTAAAATAGCATACCAGACCTGGGCATTAAACGGTTGGAGGTAAAAGTGCAGGGAAAATATGGGGGTCGAATGGCACGAAATGAACCCATACCTTTCCGCATGTGTCATAAAAATTGACCTATCAGTGTACACTGTCCAGTCCGATTTTTGAACGTTCCACATAATTCGTGGTAATGTGGTTGGCTCGAAGGAGAGCGAGTGAACCAAAGTGGCATTAATGGATTTCATAATTTCCGCCATTACGTAGCGATTATACTCCATCCTCAGAGTGAAGGGATTTCTAGCGAGGTAGGTGCCCACAAAATTCGAGCCGTCTGCGTCATCCTGGAAAATGGAATCGATTTCGGCACACCACACCGTCTGGGGAGGAACTATATTCTGCCTGAATACATCTGACGCATCTCCGCGAATTTTAAAAATCAGGTTTCCTATTAACGGAGGTATCCCTTCCTCTTTGGGGAACGCGACAGTGTAGGCGGCATTAGTGGATAGAAATATAACTACATATTTTATCGGTGAGTTTATCCGAAGATAAGTCCAACCATAAGTTACTCCTGTGTTCCATTTCCAATAATATTGAAATACTGGTTTATTATTCCCTGACAAAAATTCTTCCAGGGGTTTATGTGGTATGATAAAGGCGTAAAATCTGTGCGAACCTGGGCTAATTCTGTGACTAAATTTATAACTGCGTGGGTATTCAAGTTCGAGCAGTTCAAATACGTGTAAGCGAATCCAAATTCCGAGATATTTTTCGTCTTGCCTGCCATACTGCAAGTTGAAGTTAATCACGGCTGCAATGCAGGGTGGGATTCGTATCCGGAGGACGTTAAGTTTGGGCAGCTTTGCCCAATAGTGGGAATGGGTGTGGTATTTTGAGAGGGTCAACATGTGGACGAGAGTCATGGGCACGTTGAATTGAACAAAAGGCGCCAGTTGGGAGGAGGACATTCCACCAGAAGCGATATGCCAATGGCAAAATGTGGTGATTGGATGGTTTGTAGAAATTAAGTCTAGAATGAAATTTCCCTGCGTACCATAGTTTCTCGTGGGATGTGAGTCGATAGTGAAAAATGCAGAAATAAAGGTTGTAATTTTAATGGCAGTGTTCATTTTACGTAGAGCAGTTTTCTAGCAATATTTACGAAATATGTGTCTGCTTTAGTACAAATGGCAAGTATATAAGCTACGAAGAAAACGGGAAACAAGA